GCGACAACTTGGAGAGATGTCGTCAAAGGAAAGGAACTTGAGGGATAGTCCAGTGAGGTGAGGAGACATACCCCTCCACTGGCACGCTCACCTGCAAGGTTATCCTTCCTGACGAGAGAAAACCTCCGAAGTTTTGCATGTTGATCTGGTTTCAGATTTGTCTCTTGTATTGCCAAGCACACAGGATGATAAGCATTTACTATAGCTTTGATGTCAAGCAAATTTCGGTGGAAACCGCGACAGTTCCATGAGACGAGGGTGGCCATTATGATTGATGTTTGCTTCCTTCTGTGTTGCTTTTTAGTTTTCCGCGGAAGCAGATGTTCGGGAACTTCCATTCCCTCCTCCACTTCCATACTGTCTGAATCTAGAGATTCAGAATTCATACCATCTACAGAACTATTGCTTCGGCTTTTATTTTTGGATACTATTTTTGCAGGCACAGATTTTGGTTTGCTCAAGATTGTTATTTCTTTATTTTGTATGACATGGATTGGATTTTCCTTTTTCTTGCTTGCAGGCTGCTGGGTTTTATTTGGTGGAGTCTGTGTACTTATGGAAGTTTGGGTGGCTATAGTGCGTGTTGATTTAACGGCTCCGGCATATGATTTGTTTGATTGAGGCTGTGTGCTTTGAATTTGTCTTCTGGCTTCGGCATATGAAATGTTCCTAGAAACTTTTATGGTCTGGACTTTATAATTTTTTGGGAGGAAAAGTCTTTTATTCTGTCCTTACGTACAGATGTCATGCAAAAACATCGTTAAATTGCATTCGATAGTGGTCAAAATGGATATTTTTGTTGAAAACTTTTTGCGATTACAATACTTCCTTTTTACTTTGTACAAGGAAGTAAAAAAGGGGATGATAATAAAAAGGAAACATGAGCAATCCTTCTTGGTAAAATATACAACATTGTAGACAGTCACAGTCATTATAGATAGCACTCTGATGACTGCAATCGACTGAACAAACTGAAATATTTATTGATCTACGGGACTATAGACAAGATTTGAATGAAGAAGTAAGAATAATTATCATGAGTGAACAAACTGAAAATATTTATTGATCTACTGAAACTATAGACAGTGGCGTAGTGAGGTTGGGCCAAGGGGGTGTATGATGCCCCGGGCGTCGCTCGCAGAGGGGCACCAAATGGTCTCCAGAAAAGATTTTTATCGTATCACTGTGTTTTTTTCAGGACGGGGAGGGTGCCAAAAAGATATTTTGTCCCGGGTGCCAGTTATGCTGGCTACTCCACTGACTATAGACAATATTTGATTGAAGAAGTAAGAATAATTTTCAATGTTTTCAGCACTGCAAAACTGGAAATTCCAGTAAAAAGTGTGAGTGTTGTACCTTTTTACAACAGTTTTTATGAAAAGTTAATAGATTGTAGTCCCAGTACCTTTTTATTTATTTCCCTTAAATATAAAATTTACCTATAACATGACAGCCAACTAAAAATAGTTTTCAACAAATATTATCCAGTATTTTATAATCCTTATGTTTTGTCATTTTTATACCTAAAAAATATTTTGTGCAAGTACACAAATGATCTTAAGCATATCATAACCAAGACTTCCATCATTATCACCATACCTCAGACATACTATTTCACTTTATATCCATTCTTCAAACGCAAAGCCTAATTAGAGGAATTTTTCATATTTAAATCCCAAATTTTTCCTTTTTATACTTGGTATAAAATCAATTCCAAGTGTTTTCATTTCATATAAAACATAATTTATTTTTTCAAGCAGAATCATGAAAAGCTTTGAAATGCTAAATAAAAGTAAATTAAAGGAAAAAAGCGGTAAAGTGAAGGAATCGCCCACTTATTTGTTTGGCGCTTTTTACAAGAGTAAGAAGAATTAGATTTTTGTAATTTTCTTTGACTTTTTAAGTGAAAATAGGTCGATGTGTGCATGGATAAAGTCAAAGGAGTGAGGAATGCCATTTTTGTGCAATTCTGGGATGTTTTTTAAGTGAAAATAGGTTGATGTGTGCATGGATACCAAGTATGTGCAATTCTTAAAAATGCGCCAAGCAGTGGGCGTTCTGCACTTTCCCCGAAAAAAGATCAATTAAATCATATATCCATTATTACATTACAAAACTGAGGCCATTTTTAATTTACTGATGGAAGAACTACAGTCAAAAGTCGTTAATTTGGACTCATCGGGACTTCGGTGATTCCGGATTATAGATCATCAGTTTAAATCTGGTAAGATAGCATGCAGAAATTATAAAATTAAAAATATGAAATTGTAATTTATGAAATAAAGAACAATTATGATCTAAAGGGTATCAAAATTAAAAAAAAAAAAAAAAAAAAGCTTAATATTTATTTGTTTACTTTATTAAACATTTCTTTCAATGTAAGTTGTTTAAGTTGCTTCGTTTTTTATGTGATAATACTTTCTCTTTAATTCTATAAACAGACATAATTTCTTGTTCAGTTACAAAGTTCCGCTGTTCAAGTCCTATAATTGCTGTGTCTACCGACTAATTCGTCAATCGAAATATTTTCGTTTTCAATAACCTCTGTCACTTTCTTCGCTATCGGAAGCGAATTATAATGACGAGGAATTTGATTTAAATCATATCAAAGACGGAGTACATCGAGATGAAATACTACAATCAGTAAGAAATTATAAGCCAAATAAAATAAAAACATCTGCCCTGAAGATAAGGATAGTGCTGACAGATCAACTTCCAATTCATTGCGCGCCCGCCGCGGCGTTAATGATAAACAAAGTTTAGATAAACAAACGTTAAAGTTTAGATAAACAAAGGATATGCCTTTATCCATTTTTTGCAGCAATTCCACTTTTTGTTTAATGAACTTCGAAATATACTTTCGCTTTGTAAATCATTTACATATTAGTAAATGTATATCAGAAATTCTGTTCGACATAATCGAAAGTTCAAGCTTACTTTTATAAAATTGCTCTAACAGTTCGCAAAAAATAATAAGCCGGATCCAATTCGAAGATTAAGGAACAATGCAATCTGCAACATTAACTGAAATAGATAATTAGATAATTTTAGCTTACCTTATACCGTCCGTTACACATTAAACGTGCACTCATAAACGTATTTTGTGCACGTGCACGCGCACAAGCTTATTCGCAGCCGTAAAGGTCTTACGCACATGCGTCAACGCGACGCCATGCGCAGAAAGTTTGTAGCTTTGAGGTCCGGATTAAAGATCATTCTGGATTATGGGTGTCCAAATTAACGACTTTTGACTATATTAGTTTCAGTTGAAAATTACATAAAATTCATCTTCTTTAGAAATGACATTCGTTTCATAGAAAATCTTTATACGCTGCAAGGAAAACTGAAATGACGGCCCTCTTCTTTAAGGAATAAAAATATTCTGCTATATATCAAAAGGCTTTTTTTAAAAAAAAAAAAAAAATCTGAAAAGTTATAATTTCCTACATGCAGCTATACATCCGCAGAGAACCCGTTGGCGCCGTTGCATTTTTACTCACCAAGTTCGCGGTTCATCGACGATGAGCCGAGCCATAAACGTGATATTTTGTAAAAGTGATTTTTAGTGCATGTAAATTCAAGTTAGCAAACAAAACAATATACAAGCATATGGTAGTAAAAGTTCACAGATAATAAGCATGTAGATGTAAAACGAACCGGTTAAACGTGATATACGAAAATAAATTTGTATTAAATTCAAGTTAGCACAGAAAAGAATATATTATTAAGCATAAGACAATACATAAGCATTTATAACGGAAATAAAAATTCATTTAAAAAATATAAATTACTATTAATATACTGAAATTAACCGGTTACACGTGATATACGAAAAAAATTTGTCTTAAATTCCAGTTAACACAGAAAACGATATATTCCTTACACCAGCAGTGGTTTGCTAAATTTGATGACCATGGTGATGCATCAAACTATTCTGTCATCTTAGATAATCAATAATATTTTTTATTTCAATTTCATCATCTATTTATGTCACACCTGCGATCCTCTGAAAGGTTATTGTTAGAAAAGCATTAACAATATATTGTTAAAATTTTACACCATAAAAATTGATTTATTCTCATAATTTTAGATGACAATAACCAATAATAAAAAGCATTACTTAATTATTTAAAATGTATATGCACATTTTTGCGGTCTATGGAAAACAAATTATTTTAGAGGTTGGAAACCTCATGGTTCTTAGAGCTATTAATAATTAAGAACACAACGTAAACAGCCGTGTTACAAATTAGCATTCACCCCTCCTTTCATCCCAAACCAAAAACCGGCATCTACCTACGAAATTATTTCTATCTATTCGTTGTTAAAAAACTCAGAAAAAATAATAATAAATAAGAGAAGAATAATATAGATCTGCAAATGCGAACAATGACAGTGATAATTCGACAAAATGAACGCAAGAGGAATGGTTATAAACTTCGAACAAGCGAATAGGATAAATCCAATGGGTTACCAGGTTTGAACTATTATCGCTACTTAATTATTTAAAATGCATATGCACATTTTTGTGGTCTACGTAAACAAATTATTTTAGAGGTTGGAAACCTCATGGTTCTTAGAGCTGTTAATAATTAAGAACACAACGTGAAATGCCGTGTTACAAATTAGCATTCACCCCTCCTTTCATCCCGAACCGAAAACCGGCATCTACCTACGAAATTATTTCTATCTATTTGTTGTTAAAAAAATTCAGAAAAAATAATAATAAATAAGAGAAGAATAATATAGATCTTCAAATGCGAACAATGACAGTGATAATTCAACAAAATGAACGCAAGAGGAATGGTTGCAAACTTCGAACAAGCGAATAGGATAAATCCGATGGGTTACCAGGTTTGAACTATTATCGCCAATGTTGGCGATGTTTACATTTACCGGGTTCTCTGCGGAAGTGCTTCCAGAACGATTTTTCGACATACGCAAAAGCTTCTCGAGAAATCTGATAATTTAGAAACAAAAAAAAAAAAAAAAAGGCGTACTTGATTTTTACGTAAAGATTGTAGGTAACATAGATAAGTTTTCCCCATAGAATACAATTCTTCAGGGCTTTTACAAGTACGTTTCTCTGTCAGTTGATGAATCCGATATTCATTGATCAAAAAAAGAAATGCCGACGTCTCCGACACAGGCTTCAACTAAAGTAAATAAATAAACAGTAAAATAAATACACTTGCGTCAATGTTAGAAAATACTCAAATATAGAGAACGCATTAATTTAAACATAAAACAGCGCTTAAATACACGAAATTTTAATCTCCCTCAAACATAATAGCTCACATGTAATCAGAAATACAGATGATAGAAGAAGAACAAACTTTTGGATTTGCCTTTCGCAGCTCGCGAGCGATACCACGCAAAACCGATGTCTTCACTCCGTTCATCGTTGCCGATCAAAGTTGTCCCCAAGGCAAAGAAGGTCTTGTTTTCCCCTCCGCTAAGTCTTTCTGCGCGAAGGACGAAAAATAATACTTAGGTACAAAGAAAAGTTTGCTTGAGAGAAAAATAATTTCCTAGCGTTTAGTACGAAACTGTTAGAGCCAGGTAAAAAACTGAGTTTAATTAAAAAGTATGTCTCAGACTAAATAAATATATAGTTATTTTCTACATATGTAGATCATATGAGCGTAAATATATTAATACATATATGAAATCGGATCCAAACGTTTTTCCTCTGATTTTTCATTATAAATGCAGATTACTTGACCTTTTAGCTAGATAGCATTACCAAATTAGCAATCAGTTACCAAAGCTGCTATTCCTTTCTCTTCTATGAATGGCATCACTAGTAGACAGCCAAGTTTCAATTTATCTGTTTACGTGTGGAAAAAAACAGTGACAGCTCATTATTTCAGACTTGTACAATGATGTACAAAGCCGTTATTCTTGTTGGAGGACCTCAGAAAGGTAATCGTTGATTTATATATGTTAAGCTTAAGCTGTTTTGAAAACGTTAATACGCCTTCTCTTAGTGTTATAACATCTGATTTTCTATGCAATTATTTTGTATAAATTTATTTAAAACATAAGATGTAGTGACACTCAGGTCAAGTACCCCTGTATTCGCAGTTCGGAGCGGCTGAAGTGAAAAAAAAAGTTCTGTTAAATTACGTAAGTAGTAGGTTTCGAAATGCAAGCAAAGGGACGACAGCCTGTAACATAACTCACGGTTCCCACGCTACCTGAAAACTAGAAAAAGTCAGGGAATTCGAAAATTGACCAAAACATTCAGTGAAAAGTCAGGGAATTTCATACGGCGATCCCCCCCCCCAAAAAAAGCGAGTTTTGCCCCGATGTTGGAAGCGACAAAGCTGTTTTAAGATATATAAACAGCTTTGGGAAGCGATCACTTTCTTGGCGAATTATATATCGCGTGAATGTCATTCGGGCAGCTGGCATAGAGCCAATTTTTGCAACTCCAATTAAATTGTATATACGGTACTATGGAGGTTCATGGCAGTTTTCAGATAACCGGCCCTTGGCGATTTGGCGAAATTATGATGAGCAGTGATTGTGGGTGACAATTTCCAAAATCGTACCAAGTGCATGGAAGTGTATACTATTAGGATTTTACCGCAAAAGCTTTTAAACCCTTTCCCCCCCCTTTTTAATAAAAGCCTTATCTGTCATTTTGCAGTAAAATAAAAAAAACTGTAATTAGTCATCCAGGCTAACCATTAGTAGAACTATATTCGCTAAACTATCGTTGATTATTCTAATTCAATTTTTAAGTTTTTTTTTATGTTACCCATATCATTTAATGTTTCTTCTTCCCTCTAAGTTGATTTATTATTAGTAAATAATACTTTCAAATTACAGGAAATTTTCTGACGTAATCCTGAAACTAATTCTAGCAGTATTATGACATGCTATCACAAAATTAAATGTTCATATTTTTTGCTTATGTATGCTGCTGAAGAAATATAAATATCGGTTTGATATTTAAAAATATCATTAAATAGATTTCTTTCTTCTTTTAGTTGCAACGTGTCAGGGGGAAAAAAAAAAAAAAATTAATCCCGATTGGGCATTATCTGTGGAGAAAAATTTGTTGATCTTTACGTTATGGTAACTTGGCGATTTTTTGGCGAAAATTTGGCAACCAACTCTCCTACAGCAACCCTCTATTTTTTTTCCCTGCTGCCATTTTGTCTTCACGAAGTAAAGACGTGTTTCTTTTCTTTTTATCTACTGAACACTTCTTCCAACAATCTACTAGCCGAATTACACTTATGCTAGAAATTTTATCAAACAAAACTGCTTAATCATGACAAGTATTCACTGCAAAATTGGGAAAAAGTGCACAATACCATACTCCTTACACGTTTTTCAAAATAACATATACACATAAACCATGTACATGCCGACTTATTTTTACTTAAAAGAAAAAATCCCAGAATTGCACAAAAATGGCATTGCGCACACTCTTCACTATATCCATGTACACTGCTTTTTTCTCATAAATTAGAAAAATTTCACGAAAATACATGACAATTTTCTCAATCTTTAAACCCGGTAAAAAGAACATATATGAAATTACCTGATCGCGAGAAAGTATTTACCCTTTCCAAATATGAACATTTCCACATATAAAATAAATAAAATATCCAAAAACTTTTACCTCTAAATCATCTATTATATATAAAACGTCACCAACGAATTCATACCGCAACCATTACAAATACTTAGTGTCAGATATTTAAATTATTTCCATGCACGTTTACTTCAACTAAAACGTATACCAAATTCCTACAACATAAAATTCACAAAATAACTATCATTTCATTGAAATATAATTAAATTCAAAAACACTACTTAAAATATAAATGAGCACGTACATTAAATTAATAAAAATTACCTTACAATCCTAATTACTTTAAACTAAATCATTGCTAATAACAATTTTCCCAATAATATCAAATTCCTTTCCACCTTACATTTAGAACAATGCATAAAAATAATATCCTCAAATAATTAAAAATACTAACTTACCTAATCTTCTTCAGAATCTTGATTACGTGGCAGATACACTTTTCTAATTCATTCAATAAAATTATTGAAAGATTTTTTCTGCGAATTTTTCCTCCATACTTCCTCCGCTAAATAAAAAGCAAACTTCTCTTTATCACAATGCCTAAATACCCATTTCGAATTCACTTTAGTTAGGGCCATGGGATCCAAAAATTAACCAACACTGTTTCACACAACACAGAATAAAGCTAAATACAAAATTTCCAGATTTTTTCCCGATTTCCCCCCTTTTCCGATTAAAGAACCGTAATTCGTCCATTAATATCACATGACATATCCCATGATCTCTCATTTCCCTCATGCAAAATAATGCGTAATCGGAACTGAGTACTGCTCACATTATTACCAAAGTCCCAGGTAGTAACCTTTATCGCCTCCAAAATGTCGCCAAACTACCAGTTACCATATTGTAAAGATCAACCGAAAAATTATATATATATATATAAAATTGGAGAATTTTTTGTGTTTTTAAGTGGTAGCATAATTAATTTACCTCTTAGAACAACTCATGTGCATTACGCAGAAAGACTGGAATTTTCGGCTAATCTTTAGAATATGATAACAGGTAGTTTGGCAATAAAGGTTACTAGCTAGGACTATAGCAATAATCTGAGAAGTATACAGTTCGAATCACAGAGATCATGAGACATGTAATGTCACATTTTCTGGAAAATTCCGATCGTGATTTTAGCTAATAAGCACTTGGAAAAAATTTCGCTGCTAAAGCCCACTTATTTGTTTGGCGCTTTTTACAAGAGTAAGAGGAATTGGATTTTTGTCAATTTTCTTTGACTTTTTAAGTGAAAATAGGTCGACGTGTGCATGGATACCGTGTATGTGCAATTCTTAAAAACGCGGCAAGCAGTTTGTGATTCTGCACTTTCTCCCAATTTCGTACCTAATCTTCATCATGTTTAAGCATTTTTGTTCCGTAAAAGTTCTAGTATAAGCGTAATTCGGCTAGCAGATTGTTGGAAAAAAATGTTAAGTGAAAAAAAAAAATGCCTTTACTTCGTGAAAACAAAATGACGTCCAAAACAAACTAGCAGGTTGCTGTAGCAGGATTGGTCACCAAAAAATCGCCAAGTTACCATAATGTAAAGATTCACCAAATTTTCTTAAAACACACCTGGAAAAGTCAGGGAGTTTCATTCTCCCGTTTGAGTGGCAACCCTAATAACAAAAACATAACACTTCTGATACACCTGGTGTGTTTTCCCGCCCATGTACAGGCTTGTTTCCATGTAATGTAACTATATTAAGAATAGAAGTGGTCACTGCGGAACGTTATTTTCAAGTTGCGGGAAGTCCTCTAACTCTGAGCTCGCACATAGCGCTGGATATAAAATTTTGAATGAGAGGCTGCAAAGAATCAATAATTGTAAATATTGCTAAAAATAGCAGTAACTGTTCAAAAGGGATAATCCCGTGAATGCGTTGTGTAGAGGTAGCTTTCTTTTATTGCTGTTCTCTGTTTGTGCATTGTAGCATTCAGGGCTAGGCATTTTGCCGCCTGTTGCAATGTCGGCAGATCTTAAATTCTGTTGCCTGGTGCCTTTCTAAGAGTGAAATTACCAAACAATGGTCTTCACAGAGAATTAGCAAATCACTTGTTTCAAGATGAAATCGGGGTTGGCGCTAGACATTTTACCACTCAGTGCAAACTCTGCAATTGCAAAATTCTGCTGTCCATTTCCTTTCCAAATTAGAAAAATTTTGTCCTCCCCCAATGCGGTAACACCGTTTGCACATGCTCTGCACACACCTTGGATGAAATTAACAGGTTTTGGGCTTCCCCGTTCCGAGAACTAGCTCACTACAGGTCGACTCTGCCTTCGGGCACGTCGTGGAGGTTCAACCTCCACTATTACCCTCTAGCAGAGCCGCGCACCACCTGGATACGTCACCAGGCAGCACCGGTCGTCAATTGCTCCTGCCAGTCGCTCGGGACATTACCCAGCGACCCCGGGGGAAATTCCCACGGGTTACTAGCACCACGCCGCGCTAGGACGTGCCAGACTCCGAGGCCGGCCAATAAGTGACCTTTCCCAGAGCCTTCAGAACCACCAAGTTCATTAATTTTATACCCCCGTGGCCGAGACTGCCTAGGTACAGATCCTAGCCAGTAGCTTCGCAGAATTCTCTACGTCGACCCCCGGGGGGGGGGATGAAATTAACAGTTATTATTGATTCACAGAAATTTCAAATGTGATTAAAGATTGTGTCCTTGTTGAATGTGTCTCTGGCACAGTTTTGTTTTGAGGGGTGTTTTTCAGAGATGCATGATAATCTAACAAAAAGAAAATTAAGTTTTCCTCTACATTTAAGTATATTTTATTTTTTATTCATTTGTAATAAAGGAATTACATTGCGGAAGTCCTGTAACTGCTGTTTCGAGAATTCTGACTAATTTGTCAATCAAAATTTTTTCGTTTTCATTAACTTCTCTGTCGCTTTCTTCACTAGTGGCAGTGGTATTTCCTGGATCTAGAATCATACTATTTCGCCATTCATTCATTGATTGACGATTGAGAAGAATTGTCATCAGAATGAAAAATTTCTTGTATATCATATTCATTTATTACTGCTTCTCGAAATTTCTTTGCAAAATCCGTTAACTGGAAAATTTCACCTTTGCTTTGCAATATCAGAAAACCTTTAAAACTGGCTACTATCATCATCAAATTAAGCTATTCAGTATACATACACTGCTCGACATTGAAAATGAAACACCAAGAAGGAGTGGTCAGAAAGTGATGAAATTTGGAAAAAAAGTGACAGCAAGCAGCAATAAGTGATCTTTATTTCAAAATGATTAGTCAGAATACAGAGCGAGAATGGCGTTGGCTCAGTAGGATGTAGGACCACCGTGGACA